TATACTGTCATACAAAAAATTCATTTTTAATGCTGCTAACACTTAGATGTTTGCATATGCGTCTCTAATCTCTATGTATCTGATTATTTCTAGTCACAGTCGGTTACTTTCTGAGATCCTTGGCACCTGAGCATAGATATAAAGTCATCAGGTAGCTTTCAATGGTGCTGTGTTTCACCTTCATTAACATGAAGGAAATTTGTATGTTTCTTCCTCAAATATAACTCACTTTTTATTTGTTATTTTTGTGTGCATTTCTGTATGAATATACAGAACATCCCAAATAATCTTATTCATCTATATACCCACACCCCAAATGGCACCCTCTCATAGCCTTCCCTCCACCCCCACCACCCACTGGAGCCCACATACTCTGTCATCCCTGTTACAGTCCACTGTGTTGTCAGTGCCCCCAGCCATTCTCCAGTGTTTGTTCATCCACTGAATCTAGTCAGCCTATCAGAAGTTCCTTGTTTTAGGAAGATCACCTCTTACTCATCTAGCAACAATCAGTTGACAATATTCCTTTAGATAAGATTGGGATCTGCTGTTCATTTTCCCAGTTCTGTGCTGGGTTACTATCTGGGAATCTCTTGGGCCACCCTGGACAACAACTCAAAGGAAGGTATCTCCTGTCTGGAATTGTTTCTTGTTATGTAGCCTTTAGGTATATACGTGGACCCTTAAAGAATTATATTGATCCCTTTAATCTTTGGTTATACTTTCCTTTTGGGGGTCTAAGACCATATGATTGGCCCAGAAAAAACAATTTATTTTTACTCTTAAGGCTGTTTGAGGATCTGTTCCTCAAGGGTCACGTGGGCTTGAGAGGAGCCCCTGGCTCCTTTCTTTTACCAGTTCCATCTATGTGAAGATAAGTCAAAGGTCCTGCATGGCATGGCTGGCTTGACTTGGAAGCATGGAGGAAATGTTTCCTCTGTGTTGACCCTCCTCTTTGTAGACTGGACACTGGTTCAAGTCCATCTAGTGAGGTCTCCATGGCCTCTCTGAACAAGAGGACAGGTGACTCACCACAGTTACAGGATATTTTGATAGCTGTTCCATAGTCCCCTGGAGCTTTATCAACCGTGGAAGGCACGGGGCAAAAACTGTCCTTTAAGTGCCTCTAACCGTATTAGTATAGGCCTCAAAGTATGGCTGTTAAACATCCAAGAAAGTTAGTTCCACCAGTCTGGTACTTTTAATTACCATGCACTACATCAATAAAGCTTGGGCAAAAACCACATGTTCTCCAATAAACCTTGAGTAGACATATATTATGTTCCTTGAGCCAGTTGTATGTATAATTGGTCAGTAGGTTGTTCGATTAATATGGTTCCCTCTGGGTTTTGGGTTTTTTTTGTTTGTTTGTTTGTTTTTTTTTTGCTTTGTTTTGTTTTTTAACAATTTTTAGCATCAATTTTTTTTCCCAAAT